CAGTAGTTTGTTTTTTCTCACGGGGATGAGAACCATCACCTGATCCCCAGTGGCATAGGAGCGGGCCCTCGCCGTGCGGTCATACCTCCTCCTTCCTCTGGGCTCTGGCCAGATTCTCCTTGGCCAGGCCCATGCGTTCAGCAAGTCTTTCTTGGAATGTCAGGACATACTTCACCACTGTTTCTCCATCGGTAGTGGCCTTCCCCTCCCATTCATCTCTCATCAGGTCCAGGGGCCCCCTTACCCTCCTTCCATATAACCATTCGAAAGGCACAAACCCAGTAGACTCCTGGGGCACTTCCCTGTACGCGAACAGAAGGTTGGGTAAGTACTTGTTCCAATCCTGCAGGTGCTGGTTCATAAAGGTTTTCAGCATCATCTTTAACATTCCATTGAACCTCTACATCAGCCCGTTGGATTGGGGGTGATATGCTGAGGCTCAGCTGTGCTGGACCCCACATTTTTCCCACAGGCACCAGAGCAGGGCCGACATGAAGTTGGATCCTTGGTCTGTCAAGACTTCCTTGGGGAACCCCACTCAGCTGAAAATGGTCAGCAGTGCATCTGCCACGGCGTCTGCTTCAATAGAAGATAAGGGCACTGCCTTGGGGTAGCAAGTAGTGAAATCTACCACCACCAGAATGTACTTCTTTCCTGACTAGGTCATCTTGCTGAGAGGCCCCACTATGTCCATAGCCACCTTCTGGAAAGGCTCCTCTGTGATGGGCAAAGGTCTCAAAGCCGCTTTCCCCTTGTCCCGGGCCTTCCCCACCCTCTGACAGAGGTCACAGGATCGGCAATACTGATGGACAGTGGTAAAGACCCCAGGCCAGTAAAAGTTCTGTAGCAGCCTCTGCCTGGTGCGCTGGATTCCCTGGTGCGCTGAGCAAGGGATGTCATGGGCCAAGTACAGTAGGTTGCGGCGATACTTCTGTGAGACCACCAGCTGCCTCCGGATCCCCCATGACTTCATTTCCCCTGGGGGAGCTGGGTCTGAGCCTTGTCCCTGGGCACTTCCTCCCCACTGGGGTAGGGTCCTGTGCCTCTGGTGAGGTACCCTTCCCAAGGTCATAGTGCCCTTCACTGGCTCTGGCTATGGGTCATGACTAGGGCATTCTGGGAGTTGCTTGGCTATTCTAGGCCCCCCCACCCCCTTCAACACCTCAGTGGGCAAATGGTGGTGCACCTCCACGTCCTTGGGGCCCTCCTTGGCTCCCCATTTCAGATGTACCCTCACCATGGGCACCTTGAATGGGGTCCTTCCCACACCCGTCAGGGTCAGGTAGGTGTTGGGCACCACACAGTGTGGGGCCACCACCTCGGGCTGGGCCATCGTCACCTCAGTGCCTGTATCCCAGTATCCATTGACTCTCCTCCCATCCACCTCCAGGGGAACAAGGCACTCACTCCACAGGGACAGCCCTGCGCCCACCCTATAAACTGAGACCCTTGAGTCTGGAGCATCCAGCCCCCCAGAGAAGCTGGTCTGGGAAACTCCTCCCTTCTGAGCAGTTGGTATGCTGCCATCCCCCCTTGCCTGGGAAGCCTGCCCCTCATCCAGCTGGGTTCCTACCCAGTTAACCCTGTGCGGGTTCAATCTGCTCAGTCTGTCCTTGACCCTGGGGCACTGGGTCTGTATGTGGCCTCTCTGGTCACAGTAATAGCAGCTGATGTCTCGTTGGTCCCCTCGAGCCGGTTGGTTGGTCCTGACACTGGATGTTCCCCTTGGGAGGGTGTTTTCCATATCCCCCCATTGGGAGGTCCCAGGGTGACTCTCTCTTGGCATTGTGGCAGGCCTGTTCTTTTGGGACTTCTCCCTGCCACCCCCTGACCGGCTGTTCACAAACTCATCGGCCAGCTGCCCTGCACGTCGCGGGTCCTCTGGCTTTTCGTCCACCAACCATAGCATCGGGTTGGATGGGCACTGTTCATACAGTTGCTCCAGTACAATCAGGTTAAGTAGGTCCTTAGTTTGGGTCCCATCTGCCCACTTGTGGACGTATCCCTGCATCCAGAGGGCCAGTTCTAGATATATGACTTCAGGGGTTTTACACTCACTCCGGAACCTTTTCCAGTACATCTCGGGAGTCAGCCTAAACTCGTGTAGCAGGGCTTTTTTGAACAGTTCAGAGTCCCCTGTCTCCGCCCCTCTCGTTCGACTATACATCCCTATGGCTTTGTGGTCCAGTAAGGGGGTGAGAAACTGGAGCCTGTCTGCAGGGTCAACCATGTGCAGCTCACAGGCATTCTCAAAGGCATTGAGGAAGTCATCTATGTCCTCCTTACACATGTCATCTACATCCTCCTTATGCCGGGCCAGGACACACTTATCAAATCTCCATGCAGTCCTGGGTCCCTCATCACTCACCGCAGCTGCGGGCTTGCTGCTCCTCAGCCTTGCTGACTCCAGCTCATGCTGTCTCTGTCTCTCTTCATGCTGTCTCTGTTTCTCTTTCTCCTCCAACTCATGCTGTCTCTGCTTCTCTTTCTCTGCAAGTTCCTGCTGCTTCAACTCCATCTCTTTCAGTTTTATCTCCCTTTCCCATTCCAGCCACTACAGCTCCAGGGATGGGGAGCTCCACAGGGAGGATCCCCTGCTGGCTGCAGGGGTCACAGCGCCCTTGGTATTCGCTGGGCTCCTCCCAGCCCTTTCCCTAGGAATAGGTAGGAGGGGTCCCGGGATGCCCTCAGCAGCCATCTGACCCCTCCCAGCTGGGACAGACACTGGTGTCCACCCTGCATCTGCTGGGCTGCTTCCCTCAGAGACTGAGAGGGACCGGGTCCTCCGACCAATCCTCCTCCTCCAGCTGGGCAATCAGCTGTTCTTTGGTGAGCCTCCCAATGCACAGCCCCCTCTGCTTGCACAGCTCAACCAGGTCACTCTTAAGGCGTTTCTTCTACATCTTCCCACTGGCCACTCGCAGGCCTGTGTGCTCTCAGCTCCCCACGGTTTCCAGGAGGAACCCCTAATGTGCGAGCCCTTTTCCAGATCATCACCTCTCTCCCAGGGTCAAGCTGCAGACTCCTTCGCCCCTGATCCTGCTCACCACAGTCCCCAGGGTGACCCAGTTACTGCAACAGTCTTTCTTGCTGGTCACACACTCCCAGGGGCTAAGCATAGCTCCTCCACCCCCCGAAACCGCTCCTTTCTGAATCTTCAGCACACCTGGTCCCTGTCAATCTCCCTTCATTTTACTGCTCACCAGTCACTTACTGCAGGAAGCGCCTTCCACGGGGTGCAGTATATCCCACCACTGCCACCAGTTGTCACGGAGTGTGGGGGAGTCAGGGCCCTGCACCCTCACTTCCTTTGATTCACCGTGACTCTCAGCCAGCCAGCAAAATGGAAGTCTATTAGACAACAGGAACACAGTCCCAAACAGAGCTTGTAGGTACAACCAGGACCCCTCAATCAGGTCCCTCGGGGGGGTGGGGGCAGGGAGCTTAGACCCCAGCCTTGGGGTTCCCTCTGCTTCCCCAGAGTGCTCCAAACAGAAAACCCCTTCCAGCAGTCTCACCCAGCCTTCCCCGGCTCCTCCTCCAGCCTTTGTCTAGTTTCCCAGGCAAAGGTGTCATCTGGCCCCAAACCCCCCCCCGGCTCAGGTTACAGGTTCAGGTATCATCCCTCAAGTGAAGTCACCCCCTGCTATCCCATCCCTAATGCAGATAGTCCCAGTAAAACTCCCCTGCAACATTCTCAGGTCAATCCGCCCCGCTCCCTACTGCGTCACAGCCTGTGTACTGAGAACTCCAAGGCTTTTCCATGCCATGTGCTGTGAATCTTGTGTTTGGGACACAGGAAGTAGAAGCTACAAGTCAAAAGGAATATAAAGGGCAGCTGCATTATATCCATTTTGTCTTCAATCCCTCTGGAGCAACTTTTCTACAAACTGAAGCCTTGAACAAAGGACTGAATGACCTATCCAAACTGTGGATGTGTTTCAGATGGACTTTCAAGCCAGCAACTCACCAATACTGCTAAGAACCTGATATATAGATTTTGGAATGTATCTGACTGCTTTCCCATTTACCAACTTCTGTCTTTCTGTCTGTCTTTCTTTCTGTCTTTCTTTTATAATAAACCTTTAGTTTAGATGCTAAAGGACTGGTGGGCAACATAGTATTTTGTGTAAGATCCAAACCAATACTGACTTGGTGATGTGGCTGACCCTTTGGGGTCAGAAGAACATTTTGTTTGTGAGCAGAGTTTTTAAGTAACTGTGACGAACTGGGACTGTTCTTAATGTGGTCTTTGAATGCTGACAGGGGAGTGTGGCTAGGATAGTCTGCATTGGGGGATGGGAGACTGACCCACGGAGAATACCTGAGCATGTAACATGAGAACCCAGGAAGGGGTTAGAGGCCAGGTGACACCTTTGCCCGGGAAACTGAACAAAGGCTGTGGGAGGGGTTGCTGAAGGCAGAGTCTGAGGAGCTGGTTTGTGAGGTGGCTGGGAGGCAGACGGGGCTCTGACCTCCCAAGGGGGCTGGGGTGCCCGAGGACCCCAAGATGGACCTAACTGAGGGGTATCCTGTTGTCTGTGCCTGCAAGACCTGTCTTGGACTGTGTCACTGTCATCTAAATAAACCTTCTGCTTTACTGGCTGGCTAAGAGTCATGGTGAATCGCAGGAAGCCAGGGGTGCAGGGCCCTGAGTTCCCCCACACTCCGTGACAGTAACTTCTAGCTGTATTGGACCTAGGTGCTGATTGGGAGTCAGAGAACTGGGATGCAATAAAGGGGGCTGTGTGATTTCTTTTTTTTCAGCTTCTTGATAACCAGTGTGGGTGATCAGAAGCACAGTTTGTGACTGTTAACCACCAGATTTAGGAGCATCTGCTCTCCCTTTTTCAGCCTGCCCTGACCTGGGCATTTTCAGTGAGGCCTGCCCCAGGCATACCAGCTCACACTAAGCACTGAAGTTAAATTAATAGAATGTTTTTTTATGACAAAGTCTTATGAAATCAACTGAACTCCTTTATTTCCTTTCATCTGAGCAGGGTTTCCAGTTTCCAAACCTGATGTGATCTCCCAGCTGGAACAAGGGAAAGAGTCATGGGTCCCAGACCTCCAGGGTTCAGAGGAAAGAGAGATCCTGAGAGCTATCTGCACAGGTGAGGAAACATTAAACCAACTCAGAATCTGTAAGTGCCTGAAGGAAACATCTGGGATCCCCTACAAAGACCTTGGGAGGTCTCTTAGTTCATTATTGTCCCTAGCAGGGGAAATATCCCCAGGGTAAATATCGCTCATGGCTTCCTGTAGATCCTAGCAGACACCAAGTAGTAGCTTCCGCCCTTCCCCCTGTGAATTTGGATGGGATGTGAAGGCCAAATTGATCCCCTCCTCTCTCCTATTTGTGTTATGCTTATAATAAGCACATGGGATCTTTTTCAGGGGAAAAGGCAATATGCTGCGTTTATTGAAGATACAACAATTAGCATATGCATTCAATCACACCACACACATACACTGTCCTGCCAGTCGATGTTACAGTTACCAGTCCAGAATCCAGATCAACCTTGTGGCCAGCTAGATTGATCACACGTAGGAAGAGCTGGGTTCTGTTGGTTGCAACATGATTCTCTGGGGAAGTCTTGGCAGGATGAACCCAAAGTTTCATGGCAAGGCCCCCTGTTTATATAGTGATTTTCCTTCATTGCGACCAATGAGTTTTGCACCATCATGCTGTAATCAATTGTTGTTTGATGAGTGCTTGTTTTCTTAAATTGTCCTTCTCATCCTTTATCTTTTTCTTTCATCAAGTTCCTCAAGGAGTTATCCCATGCTGGTTTTGATCAGAGCTGTCTTGTCCCCATTGATAGGTGCCTGTCTCATCTTTAGAGTCATCAATCTGTCGTCCTTTGACATTTCAGTAGGGGTGTGCTGCAGCCTACTGGTGCCCTTGCGTCTGTCTTCGGTTCCTCCCTCATACATCTGGTTCAGCGATGGCCTTCACACTTACCGCTTAACACATACATTCCTCATTCACACACAAAACAGAATTAATTTACACACAACATTTTGAACAGGAACATCAAGTTGCAATGCAGAAGAAAACAATCACGGCATTCTTTTACTTATTTAAAAATGTTAAACCTACAACAAATTGGTGACCCTCAAAGCTCTGTTACTGCCTTGAAATCAGTCCAGTCACAGATTCTGGCTGTTGTATCTCTACCCATTGGCCCATAAAGCCATTCCTTTCTGTTGTTCAAAAAGGGTGGCTGCCAGGATATGATCAAATCCTACACCAATACATTTAATACATGCTACATTCTTGTTCTTTATCCTTCATTCTAAATTATATAAAATACAAACATAAGATTCTACTACTACATTTGGGGGAAGAGTTTGCAGGAGTTCAGTTCCTGATTTTTATTTGACGTCTCTTTAGCACTTGTTTTGGTTTGGCCTTCCCCTTTCCATCCCTATTTGAGGTTTCTGTCTCTATCACAGCAGGTGATGCAATGGTATGTGAGAAAGAGGAGGAGAATTCTCAGCAGGAAAATGTTGAGCAAGTGGATAAACACAGAGAATTATCGCAAAGATCAAAAAGCAATGTATCCAGGAGTCATGAGCAGGGACAATCCTGTGAGATTCAGCACAAACCAGAAAGAGAGCATGGAAACCAGCCAGGGGAGAAAGTGGATAAATTTATTTCCAGTTGGAGAACTCAGAAGGACATCAAGGAAACCACAACACAGCAGGAAATCCTCAGGGGAAAGAGAAAAAATACATTCACTGAGTGTGGGAAAAACTTACGTGACTACTCAGCCCTTATAAAGCATCAGAGAATCCGCACAGGGGCAAGGCCCTATGAATGCAGCGAGTGTGGAAAATGCTTCACTAAGAGCTCAGCCCTTTCTGAACATCAGAGAATCCACACAGGGGAGAGGCCCTATGAATGCAGTGAGTGTGGGAAAAACTTCACTTACAGATCAGGCCTTTTTCTCCATCAGAGAATCCACACAGGGGAGAGGCCCTATGAATGCAGTGAGTGTGGGAAATGCTTCACTAGCAGCTCAGCCCTTTCTGAACATCAGAGAATTCACAAAGGGGAGAGGCCCTATGAATGCAGTGAGTGTGGAAAAAACTTCACTCAGAGAGCTGGCCTTTTTCTCCATCAGATAAGTCACAGAGAGGAGAGGCCCTATGAATGCTATGAGTGTGGGAAAACCTTCAATCGCAGTTCGCACCTTATTAGGCACCAGAGAATCCATACAGGGGAGAGGCCCTATGAATGCATTGAGTGTGGGGAAAGCTTCACTAACAGCTCAGCCCTTTCTGAACATCAGAGAATCCACAGAGGGGACAGGCCCTATGAATGCAGTGAGTGTGGAAAAAAATTCACTCGCAGATCAGGCCTTTTTCAACATCAGAGAATCCACACAGGGGAGAGGCCCTATGAATGCAATGAGTGTGGGAAAAGTTTCACTAGCAAATCAGCCCTTTCTGAACATCAGAGAATCCACACAGGGGAGAGGCCCTATGAATGCAGTGAGTGTGGGAAAAACTTCACTCACAGATCAGGCCTTTCTGAACATCAGAGAATGCACACAGGAGAGAGGCCCTTTGAATGCCGTGACTGTGGAAAATGCTTCACTAGCAGATCAGTCCTTTCTAAACATCAGAGAATTCACACAGGGGAGAGGCCCTATGAATGCAGTGAATGTGGGAAAACCTTCATTCGCAGCTCGCACCTTATTAGGCATCAGAGAAGTCACACAAGAGAGAAGCCCTATGAATGCAGTGAGCAGGGGTGGCTCCAGGCACCAGCACAGCAAGCATGTGCCTGGGGCAGCAAGCTACACGGGGTGGCCTGCCGGTCGCTGTGAGGGCAGCAGTCAGACGGCCTTCAGCGGCATGCCTGCGGGAGGTCCACCGGTCCCGTGGTTTCGGCAGCAGGCACGCGGAAGGCGCAGGACTGTGAGATCACCCGCAGAAACGCTGCCGAATCTGCGTGACCAGTGGAGTGTCCGGAGGCGTGCCGCCGAAGGCTGCCTGACTGCTGTGCTTGGGGTGGCAAAAATATAGAGCCGCCGCTGGCAGTGAGCGTGGAAAAAGCTTCACTAGCAGATCAGCCCTTTCTGAACATCGGAGAATCAATACAGGAGAGAGGCCCTATGAATGCCATGAGCGTGGGAATACCTTCTCTTGGCACTCAGCCCATGTTAGCCATCAAAGAATCTGCAAGGGAGATCAACACCATAAAAATCTCTAGGGCTAGCCATACTTTTTTTCTTTAATACTTTTCCTGATTCCCACATAGTAACTTTCAAAGCTGTTTGAACTATTTGCAGCACCCTTATCCCTCAGCTTGTCCAGATGAGTGGCTCATTTTTCCTTTTGCAGTTCCCCCAGTTTTGAAGTGGGCCCATTTGTCCTATCAACTCCCTTGTCCCATGAGTAATTCCAGTGTACCCTTCCTATCAGGAGGCAGGGAGCATCACATTTATACTATTCCTCCTATTGCAAAGTTATTGTTAGAGTAAAGGACAGTTATCTGTTCCGTAACTGGCGTTCTTCGAGATGTGTTGCTCAGGTGTATTCCACTATAGGTGTGCATGTTCGCCACTTGCACTGGTGCTGGAAGTTTTTCCCTTAGCAGGATCAGTAGTGGGGGAGCACCGCTGCGACCCCTGGAGTGGCGCCGGTATATCGTGCCATAAAGGGGGCTGCGTGTTCCCCCCCCACCCTCAGTTCCTTCTTGCCAGACAACTCTGACAGAGGGGAAGGCGGGTGGGACGTAGAATACACTTGAGCAACACATCTCGAAGAACGCCCGTTACGGAACAGGTAACTGTCCTTTCTTCTTCGAGTGATTGCTCATGTGTATTCCACTATAGGTGACTCCATGCTATCCCTGATGGAGGCAGATAGGAGTTTGAAGTGTAAAAAAATTTTTAGGGGTTACCCGGGCTGAGCACCGCCCTACCAAACCCGGCGTCATCCCTTGTCTGGGAGACGATCACATAGTGCGATGAGAAAGTGTGGACAGAGGACCACATAGCAGCCCTACAAATGTCCTGAATAGGGACATGAGCGACATAAGCCGCGGATCTCGTCAAATGAGCCTTCACTACAGGAGGCAGGGGAACCCCTGCCAGGTCATAACAGATGCGAATGCACGAAGTGATCCAGTGGGAGATCCGCTGGGTGGAGACCGGTCACCCCCTCATGTGCTCAGCCAAAGCAATGAAAAGCTGGGGGGACCTTCTAAATGGCCTGGTTCTGTCCAGGTAAAAGGCCAGCGCTCTGCGCACGTCTAACGTGCAGGCGGCGTTCCTTGTTGGAGGAATGGGGCTTAGGACAGAGGATTGGGAGGAAAATATCCTGATCCATATGGAAAGCCGAGACCATCTTCGGCAAAAAGGCGGGGTGAGGGCGGAGCTGAACCTTGTCTTTATGAAAGACCGTATAGGGCGGTTCAGAGGTCAGGGCCCTGAGCTTGGAGACCCGGCGGGCTGAGGTGATAGCCACTAAGAATGCCACCTTCCATGACAGGTGGGACCACGAACACGTGGCTAATGGCTCAAAGGGAGGCCCTGTGATATGGGAGAGTACCAGGTTTAGATCCCAGAGCAGGACCGGGGTTCTGGCGTAAGGGAATGCCCAATCTAATCCTTTCAGAAACCGGGACGTCATGTGATGGGAGAACACAGACAGGCCCTGCTCCGGGGGATGGAAGGCTGAAATGGCTGCCAGCTTCACACTGATGGAGGAGGGTGCCAGGCCTTGGGTCCAAAGGGACAGGAGGTAATCGAGGACAAGCTGGCTAGGGACGGAAGAGGGAGAGAAACCTCTATCCCTCGCCCACATAGAGAATCTATACCACTTAGCCAGGTAGGTTCGCTGCGTGGAGGGTTTCCTACTTTCCAGCAGGACCCTTCTCACATCCTCAGAACACCTCCCCTCCTCCTCGTTCAACCACGAAGCAGCCAAGCTGTCAGATGGAGCGCGGCTAGGTTGGGATGGAGGAGGCGACCTTCCTCCTGGGAGAGAAAGTCCGGGCGTAGTGGGAGCCTGCAAGGAGGGGCCACTAAGAGTTGCAGCAGGGACCCGTACCAATGCTCACGGGCCCAATCCGGGGCTATGAGGATCATACTCGCCCCGTCTGACTTCACCTTTTGTAGGACCCTCTCTATTAAGGGGAAGGGCGGGAAGGCGTACAAGAGGGGCCCCGACCATGGGAGCAGGAATGCATCCGATATGGCCCCTTCGCCCTCTCCCACTCTGGAGCAGAATTGAGGACACTGTCGATTCTGGGTGGTGGTGAACAGATCTACCTGGGGAGCACCCACTGTAGGAAGATCCACCTGATCACCTCCTTGTGCAGGGACCACTCGTGTTGCTGGGAGAATACCCTGTTCAGGCGGTCTGCGAGCGTGTTGCTCTTGCCGGGCAGGTAAAAGGCCTGAAGGAGTATACTGTGGGCTATACAAAACTCCCACAGGAGCTGGGCTTCCTGGCATAAGGCCCGGGAATGCATGCCCCCCCTGTTTGTTGATGTAGTACATGGCGGTCGTGTTGTCCGTGAGGACTCTGACCACCTTCCCTTGTATGTGCTGGCGAAATGCCACACATGCCAGGCATACAGCCCTGAGCTCCCTGACATTTATGTGCAGGGTTAGCTCCTCTGGTGACCACATACCCTGGGTCCTGAAATCCCCCATGTGGGCTCCCCAGCCCAGGTCCGAGGCGTCCGACACTAGATCTAGTGAGGGATGAGGCTCTCAGAAGGGGATACTGCAGAGCATGTTGCTCGGGAGGGACCACCAATGGAGGTCTGCCACCACCCTGGGCGGCAGTGTGACAACCTTGTCCAGGCAGTCCCTGGCCTGGGAGTACCAGGAGGCCAGCCAAAGCTGGAGGGGTCTCATCCGAAGCCTGGCATGTCGCACCACATAGGTTCATGCTGCCATGTGGCCTAGTATTTGAAGGCACAGGCGTGCCGTGGTTATTGGAAAAGCTGTGATGGAGGCAATGAGAGCCTTGAGCGTCTCGAACCTGTCTCGTGGGAGAGAGGCCGTGGCTATTTGGGAATCTAGCAGCGCCCCTATGAATTGTATGCGCTGGACTGGAAGTAACGTGGATTTCTCCTTGTTTACCAGTAGGCTTAGAGCCCCGCAGGTGTCTAGCAGGAACTTCATCTGCTGCTGCACCAGAGTGCGAGACCAGCCCTTGAGCAGCCAGTCATCGAGGTAGGGGAAGATCTGCAGCCCTTGCCTCCTGAGGTGGGCCGCCACCACTGCCATACACTTTGTAAATACCCTGGGGGCAGTAGAAAGGCCAAAGGGGAGGACTGTAAATTGGAAGTGGTCCTGACCCACCAGGAAACAGAGGTAGCACCTGTGACCCTCGAAAATGTGGATGTGAAAGTATGCATCCTGGAGGTCCAGCGCAGCAAACCAATCCCCCTGGTCTAGGGATGGAATAATAGAGGCCAGGGACACCATGCAGAATTTGCAGTGCACGAGAAACTGGTTGAGGTTCCGCAGGTCAAGGATGGGCCGAAGCCCACCCTTTGCCTTGGGGATGAGGAAATACCTGGAGTAAAAACCCTTTCCCTGGTATTCCCGAGGTACTCATTCTACTGCTCCCAGAGAGAGGAGGCGCTCTACTTCCTGGTAAAGAAGTAAGGCATGCTCCAGGGACCCATCGGGCTGCCTGGACGGGGAACAAGTGGGAGGGGCTGAAACAAACTGCAGCTTGTACCTTTGGGAGATGGTACTGAGGACCCATTGGTCCGACATGATATGGGACCACTGCAGTCAGAAGTCCGATAAATGGTTTAGAAAAGGTAACTTTATTAACTGGGTGGGGGGTACACTGGCAACAGGCCCAGTGACCCCCCTCAACAAGTCAAAAACGCCATTTTCCCTGCTGTTGGCCTTCGAGGTCCCCAGCTGTGGGGCCGAGTGGGATTAGCGTTGGGACCGACGTCTTTGATCCCTCTGCCGCTTAGGCGGGGGTTCATATCTGCCCCTAGCGGAGCAGAGGGTTGAGGCCTGGGTTTGTCCTTAGCAGGCGGGACGTAGAGGCCTAGCATCTGCAGGGTGATACGGGAGTCCTTCATCCCATGCAGACAGGTGTCTGTCTGGTCCACGAAAAGGGCCTTGCCATCAAATGGCAGGTCCTGCATTATGGACTGGGATTCTGATGACAACCCCGAAAGTGAGAGCCACGCTGCCCGTTGCATGGAGACAGCGGTCACCATCAAATGAGCGGCTGTGTCTGCAGCGTCCGAAGCCGCCTGGAGAGCCGCTTTGGTGGCGGTCGCACCCTCCTCAACCAACGCCCTGAACTCCTTCACCTCCTTGTCAGGAATGAGGGGCTCAAATTTGGGGAGGGATCCCCACAGGTTAAACTCGTAGCGGCTCAGAAGCACCTGATGGTTGGCCACTCTAAACTGGAAACTCATTGACAAATAAACCTTTTTACCAAAGGCATCAAGTCTATGACCATCCTTGTCCTTTGGCGTGGGCGCGGGCTGGCCATTCCATTCACGGTGGTGGACCGATTCAACCACTAGGGGAGTTTGGAGCTGGGTGGATATAAAGGTACTCGAGACCCCTTGCGGGGACAAAGTACTTCCTCTCGGCCTTCTTGGAAATAGGCCCAAGAGAGGGCGGGGTCTGCCAAAGGCCAGTGGTGATGTTGGCAACTCCCTGATGGAAAGGGAGCGCCACATGCCCCGGTACTGAGGAGGCAAGGACATTGAAGAGGGTGTTGGAGGCCTCCTCCATCTCCTCGGCCCAGAGCTCGAGGTTGGCTGCCACCCTCCGAAGCAGCTCTTGGTGGGCTTTAAAGTTCTCCTGGGAAGAAGGAGGCGGTACCAGAACCGAATCGCCTTGCGCCGAAGGGGTGGGCGGCGCGGCGCCTTCAGTGGCTAACGGCACCATGGGCTCCCCGTCTGGATTCAGTGCCGGAGTCGGTGCCGGGGGTTTGGCGCCCATGAATTGATCTCGGTGCCG